TCTACCGACTTTACCACAGAGCGTCAGCATAGGTCCTGTCGCTGATGCAGTTGCTTCATTGGACCACTTTAGAACCCGGAGGGCCATCTAATCTCGCTGCAGTCCGTTTCTCTAGCCCAGTCAACGTTCAGCTTTTAAAGATATTTGGCCCTCATGAACGAATATTTGAAAATGATACGTCAATAATCAGGTAAAGGATGACTGGATCAAATATATGGCCTTTGAACTACCACATTTGTAGTGCGACTGAGTTTCCCGAGTCCCACGAAGAGGTCGTTCCAACGGTGCAGGTATTCTTCACGGCTACTCCGAATCTGGAAAGAGATGACAAGCCCAAACCCTTGAATCAACTCGCTACAACAACTTTACACTATGATGGAGGCACACGTGATTTCAAAATTGATATGGGTACTGTAAGTATAGCGATAAGAACTGTAAACCATCAGCTCAATAACACCATCAGCATTCGACTCGTCTTATGATACTCAGTACATGGCTTCCCAAACTCACTATTGCCGTATATGGTACTCTCTTGACGGAAGTCCAGCCAGTAACTCAGCCAACCGCACAAGTTGAAGATGTGGTGCATATGACTCCGTTGGCCAAGTATCTGGACGTGGCTAATGCAAAAGACTATAATGCTCTCGCAAGATCTTTATGTCTCGAGGCAGCAGGCGACGTTTCACCTGCCCATCTTCTTCGCCTTATGTTCCTACTCAAACCAGCGGACACCGACTGGGAAATTCCCAATTATCCTGCTCGATATGCGGATCTCCCCTCCCTCCCAACATTGGAACTCAGCACTACCAATAGCCTTGATGCAGTTCATCCAAAACAGCGGTGGCTAGAGCAGATCATGAACGAGTTGAGATTTCCAATTCATGATGCGGAGAAAGAGGAATCGATTCAACGCCTCGCAGACTCCTTCTCTACTACTTTGGATACTCCAGTACGTGCCTTAATTAGTTTATCCGGAGCGAAATCATGACATGAACTTCACAGAGTGATATTAAATCAGCATGGCTCATCCATGTGCTCTCAAACATCAGTAAACATCCACCCATGGTTGCAAAAATATTATTTGTACGTCTGAAAATCAGTTGTATCTTTCTTCTCTCATAATTCCCTAGGAAGGCGTTGACCTTATTGGGCTTCTGGAGAGCGATATCCGTGGCGAAGGAGTGGTACTAGAGAAGTTGGTTACATGTGCAGCAAATCCCTCCGTCGCTGATCGGTTACATAAAAAAATGGAAGCTTTGGCGAAAGTAAAAGACAACCAAGATCACTCCCATAATCAAGAGGTCTCGCGGCTGATTGAAAGGGTCAACGGGTGGCCGACTTTGATCGACAGCCTTACCAAGCCGGAACTGGATTTTTCTACAGTTACACCTTGGATCTATGATCTACTAGGAGATGAAGAAACATTTGCCATATTCCTGCAAGGATTGATGTCCTATGAACCTGTTTCAGAACTCTTGAAACCGGTTCCAGAAGGGACGGTCAAGCCATTATTCTCTCAACCATCTCCTTCCTCTCTGGAGGAGAGAAAGGCTTTTATGAGAGCGATTGTAGGACTAGGCACCCTTTTTCCTGTGTTTTGCTGGGCGAATAGTGAAGGCAGACACGACTCGTTACAAAGGATTATTCACGCATTCCTGATATGGCAGGCCGAACCTGGCTATGGTGATGTAAGGAACCTTTCGATAGTATTTGACCATTATTAACGGGAAACGTCGGTAGATCCTCAATCGAATACTGTCACTCAAGCAATGCATATGGCGGCTTCATATGACAGTCAAAGATTGTACACAGGGTACGAGTATCGGTGCGGAGTCACTCTTATATAGACTCTATCGTTCCAACACCGATGTACTCTTCAATCCAACTTTCTTAGACTATTTATCTAGTCGTTCCACTGACTGGCCACCACTGTCCGATACAGTCTGGCTTGCCAAGGCCGCATCTGTGGGAAAGCAAGGAATTCCGAAAGTCCTAGAACTACTCGGTGATTCGGATCTTTCGAACAACTTGAGGGACGCCGAAGCAGCCTATCTGTTTCGCGTTATAACGCGATTCCTTTTAAAGGAGACAACAACTCAAGGAGAGGACTACGTCCTCCGTTCAATGTGGGAGTCCATGAGCCCTGTGCAAGGAGTCGTACACTGTCTCGTTGATCGTTTAGAAGATGTTTCCTCTGCTTTAACAGACAGTGTGGGAGCCCTATACATTTCTTTCACTCCAGAGAGCCATCTCATTGATTTGATCGACGCATACGTAGATATACTCTACTTGATCAGTCATTTCGGCTCTGTCCTCCCTCCAGTCAGGCGAAACATCGATCAACTAGTCACCTCGGTCATAAATTTCGAGACAGTATGCGAAATTCTCCAGATGTCAAGAAATATAGGAAATCGACTCAATAGGTCAATAGAGACCATCACTCGCTCTTCTAGATGGTTTGTCGGACTTTTCCGAGAGGACTACTTTGGAGTAGTCCCGAGCTGCCGTTTTCTGAAAAGGGTTCTTCTCATTTCTCACTATCCATCGTCTATCAACGTCGAAAAGGCCTTTGAAGTAGCATCTAGTACCCTAGATCATCTACTGCCCCAAACTAGGCAAGGGGGAAACGCACATGCGTCCGTATGGGCGGGAAGATTGGTCGAAGAACTGCCACTATTTCAAGGCTTCTTACATAGGAACACTGAGCAACAGCGTGCTCGATGGATTCTCCGTGCCACAGACTTGGACGGCAGCGAAATGGGCCTAGGATACTTCCTGCTATATGATGAAATCAGCTTGCTCCAACTTACTCTCAATAAGCTCCAAGAAACCGACTTAATCGACCCGGCGGCTCAAGCATTGCACTTTCAAGTCTCTATTCATTTCGCCTGCCTGGTCACCCTGGTCACTAGCAAGGAGTCAATGTCAGCCTTGCTGACCTCTAGTGAAATAGCGACAAGCCTCTCGGACTGCTATACCACGATGTCACAACTCAAATTACACGATGATTCCTCGGTCGATTTATCGAAACGCTTGATCGAAACTAATGAAGTTTCCCTTGTTATTGCCGGAGCCAGTTCGTTGCTTCGTGCAGCAAGACTTCAACCAACGGCACCTTTTC